TGAGCCAGTAGGCTGAAGATGAGTGCCTGCAATGTTACAGAAGAGCTTTGGGTAATTGTCCAGGCAGTGAGATGTCTCTGTCAATTCTAGAGTTTTGAAACTTCCATTATTATGTTGAAATATGTCCCATGTATCCTTAAGTCTCCAGAATTTTTATCAGGAAGAGGCATTAGATTTTTGTCAATGGCTTGTTCTGCATCTAATGAGATGTTCACTTGATTTTTGCCTTTCAGTTTGTTTGTATAATGGATTACATTTATCAATTTATGCTGTGAGATAATGCTCTTGTACACTGTAAAGATTTGTCACTCTTATTAGTTTAATAAAACACTGATTGGCTAGTAGCCAGGCAGGAAGTATAGACAGGGCAACCAGACTAAGAGGACTCTGGGAAGAGGAAAGGCAGAGACGCAGTCGTCATTCAGAAGTAGAGGAAGCAAAGTGAGAACGCCTTACTGAGAAAAGGTACCAAGTCACATGGCTAAACATAGACAACAGTTATGGGTTAATTTAAGTTGTAAGAGCTAGTTAATAATATTCCCAAATTAATAGGCCAAACAGTTTATTATTAATATAAGCCCCTGTGTGTTTCTTTGGGACTGAATAGCTGTGGAACTGGGAGGGACAGAAACTTTTGTCTACAGATTTACATATGCTGAATCACTCCTGAATCTCTAGGATGAAACTTACTTGATTATGGTAGACAGATGTTTTGATATGTTTTTGGATTCAGTTTGTAAGTAATTCTCTTTCTTTGTTGGGTCTTCATGTATATCAGGGTAACTGTGACCTCATAAGATGCATTGGGCAACATCCCTTCGGTTTGAATTTTATGGAATAATTTGAGGAGTATTGGAATTAACTCTTATTTGATACTTTTTTTGGTTTTTAGTTTTTTGATACAAGAGATTTCTCTGTGTAGCCTTGGTTGCCCTGGAACTATAGACAAAGCTGGCCTTGAACTCAGAGATCTACCTGCCTCTGCCTCCCCAGTGCTGGGATTAAAGTTGAAGATGAAGACTGAATAAGCAATTTAAACATACATCCATTTCTTTTGTATTTTCCAATTTGGTGGAGTAGAAGTTTAAAGTAAGACCTAATGATTCTCTATATTTCCTCAGTGTCTGTTATATCCCCCTTTTATGTCTCTAATTTTGTTAATTTAGATATTCTTTCTCCTCCTAGTTAATTTTGATAGGGATTTGTCAGTTTACTGATTTTCTCAAAAAACAAGCTCTTTGTTTCATTGGCTATTTGTATTTTTGCTTGTTCCTGCTTTATTGATTTCAGCCCTCAGTTTATTTCTCACAGTCTACTTCTCTTGGGTGTTCTTACTTCCTTTTGTTCTGGAGCTTTCAGGGGTGCTGTTGAGTGGATAGTATGAAACCACTTCAGG